GGGCTGTGTGGAGTACACACACTGTAGCCCCCCAATTTCTAAGAGAGTTGGGGTTAGTACTTGTACCAAAACACCACACGCTGCCATCTGGCAAGCACCAGTTTTGTCCAGTCAAAACATCAAAATTCAAAATATTTTCATTGTGCTTCTTAATCACAAAGCAAGTAGAAGACATGAGGTTCTCATCTAGGACCAATAAATCAATTTTTGAGGTTTAGCAAATAACACTTGCTCTGTTTATTCCGATGACTTCAACTCTCTGCCATCTGGGTCACACACCCAGCTTCTCAGCATCCTGTTGTGCTAGTATGGAACTTTGTGCTGCTATATCTATTCGAAATTTCACCAGTTGTCATCAAGGACCAACTGGAATCAGAATGTATTCTGTTTAATGATGGATTTAGCCTCATATTCAGAAGAATCTGAGCTGAACAAGGGGTCATAATTTTCCTTACCATAGTCATCAGGATCACTCCAAATATCACCATCCCAATCCTCTGGGGACACTATTAATTGCCTAATTTGCATGGGGTTAGGCAGGTGTGGGGCCCACATGAGCATCTTCATAATCTTTTCTTCCAAATTTTGTGTTTTCTCCTTTTCTTCCTGTAACTGCTTCTGTAACTGATCAGTTTTCAGACAGTATTAATTCAGCTGCCTTTCTAACTTCTATTTTTTCCTTTATGTCCTATTCCCTCTTATTATTCTTCCTATCATGATAAGCCCTTCCTAAACAGATACTTAGAATTTTGCAAATAATTCCTTTACATTTTCCAGCCTTTATATGGCCCTGGTCACCTTTAGCTGTTCTTCTAAAACTTCCCAATCACACCAATTATCCTGAGTCCATTCTTCTGAGAATTTGGGACTTGGACTTATTGCATGCTTCTGTAAGTAATCACTGATATTACTTGCCATCCTGCTGACTATGCCAGTTTGCTGCAAAACCTGACTTAGGATCCTGTTGACTATGCCAATTTGTCACAGATGAATGATTCAGATCACTTAAAGAATCACTATCAAAGGTATTGGCAAAAGTGATTTTAACACAATGTTGTAGAGGTGCAACTTAACAAGGTTCGATGACAAGGTTCACTCTATTACTTGCTACATGGAAGAAACATATGAAGGAAAATTGAGTTAGAATCACACTAGAATGATTTACACAGAGACCAGAGAGACAAAAGGGTAAAGGAGACCCTGCCGTTGAGTCACAAGGATCGAAGTGGTCCTCCTTGCTTTCCAAACTCCTGATGGAGCTTAGATGCAGCTAGGTCCCATCTTAGTATCAGACTTGGACAAGTTTAAGCTTAATGGAAGAGATACAAAGTGTGAGGGAGACTCTCCCGTTGAGTCATGAGATTCAGAGTGGACCCCCTTGTATTCTAAACTTCTCAGAGAGGAGCCTAGGTGCAGCTGGATCCAGACTTAGTCCCAGACTTAGACAACAGTTTATGCCTAATGGAATTTCATTCTATATGAATTTCATTAGTGTTAATTCAGCATGCCATCAGTCTCTTACCAAGGATCTGTTGTGAATAAGGGGCTCCTCTGTCTTGCGTAAGGAGGGATCTCTTAGTATCAGGTAGAGGATCTCAAACCTTGAGAGGCGCCCCTGTTCAAGGGGAAGAGTCACCTGGTGAGCAGTCCAGTTGCAATTCAGGGAGAACTCAAATTGGGTTCATCCAATGATCTGTCGTTGGCAAAAGGTTTCCTCAAGAAGGAACCTTGAGAGGTGTCCCAGCTTAAGATCACTGCCACGCTGCTTGGCAAGGAGAGCTCAAAGGCAGCTCCCTTGGGCTGTCATATTTATGGGTGGAAGTGGTTGGCTTACAGTCAAGTCACATACAATGGTAAAAGCGGGCAGGAGACTCCTTGTACCCGCAACTTGCTTTGTTCCTTGAGAAATGGGTCTTGGAAAAACCACTCACTATTCATGTGTTAATCGCATGGTCCCTGTTCCAAGCTCATATGCACCACTGCTCACTGGGTCTCTGCTCTTTTGGGGGCTTTCTAGAGAAGTTCTTGGCCTGGCTACAGCTCAGGACTTTACCTCCTCTAGAACCTTAACCAAACTACTGCTGGTTTGGTTAAGGTGGTCAAGCACATCTGTCACAAGCTCAGACAGTCATAGGAAAGAATTTACTTCATGCTCTCAATCAACCAGCACTTGAACATACAGCTTCAAAAGGTTTAATTTCACAGGAAAACTTCCTCATGAAGTTTCACAGGATAAGACTGACAGCTGTGTGTGAGCCAACTATCAGCTGAGTCAGAAGAAAACCCACCTGGCCTGTGGCCATATACACCACAGTTCCACAGGGGCTGGTTCTCCCCTGGCCAAACCCTGTCAACCACAGCGCTATGAGCAGGACTGAATTTCCCTGACAGCCAATCTCCTGCAGCACCACGGGGCTCAAAGGATCTCACTGCAGGAGGAGTGATGGTGAGTCTTTCCCAGCCCTTGATGAACTAGGATAGACAGATTAAACTTTTGGGGGTGGGCTGGACTCACCCCAGGGCTGGGAGCCTGCAGCCTCAGCACCAACAGGGTACACAGGGCAATTCGTCTCCCAGCCAGAGTGAATCACCCTGCAGCACTCATGGGACATGGCAGGATGAAACTCACCCACCAGACCTGGAGAGCAGATGCAGCCAGTAAGAAAACCTCGTAAGAAAAGGTGGACATGTGCATGACCTCCCAAGGGACCCCACAATAACACACACCCAAACACCCAGTACTGGGGAGGTGTCTGCAACTGCTTGTTCACAGCCCCCAGGAAACTCTGCAATAACACACACACAAACACCCAGGTGTTTTGAGAAATCTCTTCAGCTATTTCGGCCCAGCCCAGTGGGTGCTGGTGCCCACATGCCCAGTGCAGCACCCAGAGGCACTGTAGACCTGCCCACCCCACCCCAACTCACCCAGGTTTGGCTCTGGGCTCGGCAGGGTTATGGCCCTCATCTGAGGGGGCTCTGTGAGGACCAATGGTCACCTGAGGTGGAACTGCAAACTCCTAGTCACCTGTGGGTGGACATGATGAGGACCAGTGGTCATCTGAGAGGACTGTAAGAACCAATGCTACATGAGAGAACTTTGGGGACCAATGGTCACTTTAGGGGACTGTGAGGACCAACGGTCACCTGAGGGCACTGTGAGTACCAATGGTCTGTGTGGACAAACAGTCTCCTGGCCACTTTGATCATTTGCTGGCCAAAGGAAGTGAAAATATCAAGGAGGAAGAATCTCTGCTACATCATGTAAGAAAGTGAAAAAAAAAAAAGAAAATGAGGACAAGTACATTCAATAGCGATGAGGAAAAGCTAAAACAGAACTTCTGTCCCACTGCAACAGTGGGAGACATCTGGAGAAAATTCAGAGGGAGCTGAACACATCATGAGCACCTGCAAAGCCAGGTGCCTGCACCTGCCCATGAGCCACCAGTGACTGCTCATGCATCTGCACAAGCCAGAGGCCTGATAATGGCTTATCAGCAAGAAGTGACCAACAGTCACCTTAGGGATGACTGTGAGGACAAATGGTCACCTCATAGGACTGTGTGGACAAAATCCCCCCTGCCCCTTCCCTTGCTGACTGCCCCATGGCTGTACTTCACAGAATCACAGAATAAACTAGGTTGGAAGGGACCTTGAAGATCATCCAGTCCAACCATCAACTTCACACTGACCGTTCTCAACTCCACCAGATCCCTCAGTGCTATGTCGACCCGACTCTTCAACCCCTCCAGGGATGGGGACTCCACCACATCCCTGCTCAGCCCATTCCAACGCCCAACAACCTGTTCTGAGCTTTGCCATCTTCACAGCCAAACTCTCCTCTGATTCCAGTTCTGGTGGCCCTGCCAAGAGAGATGTGGACATGGTGGTGACACGGTCAGACAGCCCCTGGGTAATGCCGAGGTGAGCTGCTGGGGAAGTGGAAAGGTTGGTGCCATTTCTGGGCCTGCCAGGCCACTGCAGTGTCCCTACTTCTCTGTGGGACAGCTCTACAGAAAGGAGTGGGGTTGGGTTTTGGAGGTTATCAGAGTGTGCCCCCTCAAACTTCCCCTTGGCTGTGGTTTCAGTTCTGCCTTAGCCCCCAATGTGGTCACTCCCAGGAAAGGGGAAGAGAAACTGCAGGGTGAGTGGAGGCCCCAGGGGACAGCCAGGGAGGAGCCGGGGACATTGTGGGGCTGAGGCCGGCTCTGGTCATCCCATTGTCCTTCCAGCACTGGGCACTGGCGACAATAGTGACAGAGCTTCCACCATTCCTGTTTCCATGCCCAGGGGGCACTAGGGGAAGGGGATGGGGTTCCCCATCAAAGATGGTGGGGAGGAGCCCCAGGCCCTCTCCTGGGGGTGTTTAGGGTAGAATTGGAGCTCCCTAGCACTGTTACCACAGCAGTGGGCAAGCTGGGAACTGCTCGTCACTTCCTCCCTGGGGAGTCCCATCTCCAGGGTTAGGCAGGCAGTGCAGGAGGAGTCTGAACTGGAGGTGCCAAGGGGGACCCAAAGCAGCCCTTCTTCCTGTGTGGGGTCTGAGAGGACAGAAGCCATCTTTCTCTAGTCAAGACTGAAACCCAGAAGTTATTGTAATATCCATCAGAGCTGGAAGTTCTCCACAAGAATGGGGATAGGGGCAAGGTACCATCAGTGGGGAGAGGGAGTCAGGGGGATCCAGCTTGGGTCCTTGAGCACCCATTTTCTTCTAGTGAAACTTCCTGGGCCTCCCTTTCCCTGTCCTCTCCTCCTGCACAGTCTCTCCCCAGCCTGTCACAGCATTTCATGCTCAAGACCTTACTTCAGCTTTCCTTCCTGCTACACATACCCAGCCCCCAGCTTGGGACCTCTGAGCCCCTCCTCAGCACATCCGCACCAGTCTCATTGGCAGAGAGCTACTGCTGTGACTCCTGGGCTGGGTCAAATCATGGGACTCCACGGGTTCTTCCTCCTCCCACCATCACTGCTGCTGCTGCTTCAGCCTTGCTGCATGTACCATGCAACCCCCTGAACGCCTCTTCCTCTTTCTTCCCCTCCTCCTCCCTGGGATGTGGGCAGACCAAGAGGGTAAGTGGGAGCCCTGGCTCATCCCAACCACCCTCACCCCTCTGTCAGAGAACCCCACAGGTTCCTCAGGGGAGGCACGGCCAGGCGACTGTCCCCTGCATGGGGGGATGATCCCCATCACCAGTGGGCCACTCCCTTCACCACACAGCACCCAAAGGTGCCCGCCCTGTTCCTGTTCACCCTCTCTGTTCCTGCCTCCAGCTCAGGGCTTCATGTCCCACCAGCTCCAGCACAGGGGCTCAAGCACCTAAGCTGAAGTGAGGCCAGGAATCCCCAGCCAGGCCTGAGGTGTTGGGGTCCCCCCAAAGGTGCATTCATCCTGCCTGTGGGTGCCAGGGACATCTCTGCCCCACATGGTGCTGTGGGCCCCTTCCAGCAGCACATCGTTCGTTGGGGAGCTGCACCTGTGATAGGGTGTTTCGGGCACTGCCATCACAACAGTGTTTCACCACAACCTTGTGAGACCTCACATTTCCGGGGAGGGTCATAAGAACACAGGATTGATCTCTGGGCTGTGCTACTCTCCTGCCCCTGTCAGTGTTCAGTTTCCTTGAGCTCCCAATGCCCAGGAGCCCCCAGACCTGGACAAAATGCCTCTTCCCCTCCTCCATTCTCCATACGTGCAGGTCTATGGCAGATACAGGTCCTGGCACAGGTGCTTCTTCTGGGGGAAGCATTGCCCCAGGTGAGCACTGAGGTGCTCCAGACCATCCACTTCACACAGTCAGACAGCAGTCACTGGGCAGGAGGGAGGTGGAGAGGGGAGGGGACAAGGTGCCTGAAATCCTGTGCAGGAGAGAAACACCTCTTTGAAACTAAAATAGGGAAGGTAGAAAGGCGACAGAGGCAGAGGCAGTTCAGACAGGGAAGGAACCCTGAGCAGGCTGAAGAGCATAGAATCAGAATCATAAAATGGTTTGGGTTGGAAGGGACCTTCAAAGCTCATCTAGTCCAACCCTCCCTGCAATGAGCAGGGACATCTTCAACTAGGGACATCTAGCTCAGAGCCCATCCAACCTGACCTTGAATGTTTCCATAGAGGGGCCATCTACCACCAATCTGGGCAACTGGTTCCAGTGTTTCAACACTCTCATAATAAGAAATTTCTTCCTTATATCTAGTCTGAATCACCTGTTTTCCCTCCAGTCCACCCCACTCATCTCCTCTTTCCTGCAGCCCTTCCCATCCCTATCCTCTTTCCCAGCAGAGCCACAAGTTCTCCAGTTTCTCCAGACCAGCTTCTTCACCAACATCAGCTCTGCTGACGTGTACATGGTGGCTCTCCTGGGGGACGTGCCCATCCTTACACTGGATCCTGACAACTGGAGCACGCACTTCCACCGGCCCTGGGCTCTCCAGGCTACAGCTGAGGGTGACATGGAGAAGATCAGGGGCCAGGTGAAACCCTTTCTGCGCAATATGGTCCGATACATACACAATATGATCCAGCAGGCACAATGGGACTGTGAGTATGGGGATAACACGATCCAGAGCCCCAGGCCCTTTCCCCAGGTTCTGACTGTGCCCTCCTCCTCACCAAGGTGGCATTTGTGGGGTCTCATGGGGTGCAGCAGCTCCTGAAAAGGTAATGGGAAACGCTGCAGCTGTTGGCACATGGCTAGCAGAAGGAGGGAGGACAGTGCACAAAAAACACCCCTCAGGGCTCTTGCCATCTGGCACAGGGAAACCCCTCTGCATGCCAGGGACCTGCCACCAGATTTACTGGAGATGCATGACCCACGCAGCACAGATCAGGAAAAGACAAAGTTGGGGGCAAACATTTTGGGGGACAACTTTCTGTTTGAGCAACTACCCTGCACTAACTGGCCCTGAATACACTCTGGCCTTCCAAGGGGACTGAGGGTTTGCAGGAGGTCCCAGGGCTTCCTGAAGCATGGCCCCATGCCCTGCTGCCCATTGCACCCCACTGCCTGCAGCACTCCTGCATGTGCCTTCAGCCACATCCTGCCTCAGGTCACCCATGTCCCACATACTCATGGGGCCTCTCCACTGGCTCTGCCCTTGGTAGATCCACTGGTGGTCCAGATCCGTGCAGGCTGTGTGCTGCAACCCAACAGGACAAGCTTGGGCTTCATGGATGTCGGGGAGAGTGGCAGAGACTTAATAACTTTCGAGGTGGAGAGGCAGCGCTGGGAGCCACAGGAACCATCCCTGCTAGCAGAGCTATCCAGCCAGTCCCTCACCAGCATGAAGGCCATCACAGGGGTCCTGGTGCACCTCCTCTCCATCTCCTGCCCGAGCTACATCCTCAGCCTGTGCAGGTATGGGAGGGCTGACCTGGAGAGACAAGGTGAGACCCTGGCCCTGGCACAGTCACCCCAATCCCCACACACACACTGGGGACAAGCGGTGCCCCACAGGTGCTCCCCTCACCCCTTGGCTCTTACACCCCAGAGCTGCCCGTGGCCACAGTCTTTGCCCGCACGCCCAGACCAGACCAGCTCCTGCTCATTTGCCGTGTCACTGGCTTCTACCCACGGCCCATCAGCGTGGCTTGGCTGCAGGATGGCCAAGAGGTGCCACCAGGCCCGGCGCTCAACACCAGTGCCATCCTGCCCAACGCAGACCTCACCTACCAGCTCCGCATCACCCTGGCCGTGGCTCCCCATGACGGGCACAGCTATGCCTGCCACGTGCGCCACCGCAGCCTGGGCACCGGCAGTCTCCTCATCCCGTGGGGTAGGTGACACCCATGGGGGTGGGGATGGGGTGCAGGTAGTAGCCACTGGCCCTGCAAGGGGCATCTCTTGCCTGATGCTGCCGCATTCACACACACACCCTCTTCTCTTCCCGTCCCAGAAAACCGCAGCTCAGCTCCAACCATCGGCATCATCATCGCAGTGCTGCTCCTTGTGGCCACAGCCTCTGCTGCGTGGGTTTGGCAGTGGAAGCACAGGTGAGGTCTCCCTCCCACCATTTGCTCTTAAGTTTATGGGCATATGGATAGGGCCAGGGGTTGCAGCAGCAGCAGCTCTGCAGGAATGAACTCCCCAGCCCTGAGGGCAGTTCACTGCGACCCCCCGCTTGCAGGAAAGGTGATAAGGCCACACAGGAGACCCAGGAATTCATCATTTGAGGCCTAGCTGTCTGCCCAGCAACAAGCTCCCTTGCCACCAGCTTTCCTCCCTGCTCATCAGCACTGACAAGGTGTTTACTCTGGAAAACCACTGCATTAAACAGTTACAAAATTTCTCACCTGCACGTGGCTCCTGTGACTCTCACCCTCCTTCCCCCTCACATGGTCACCCCAGGAGTGCTGCAGAGACCCTACGTTGCAACCAGGAAGATTCTCCTTTTTCCTGGACACTGTCTGATCTCCCCTGGCATGTCAGGAGAAGCAATTCCTCCACCAACCTCTCCCACATTCTGGCATCTCCATGGCAAGTGTCTGTCCCTGGCAGAAGGGCAGTGACAACCTGGGCCAAACCAGTGTGGGGCCACTAGGTGTGACGGAGGATGGAGCAGACCACAAACCAGGGAGAGATGGAGGGATTTGAGCTGTATCATTGGGGAGAGAGGGGGAAGGGAGGACCCAAGTGACATCTCCAATCCCCTCATGCAGGGAGGCATTTTCAGCAGGTGCAAAGCCACTCTGGCTCCAGCGGTGATCTCACCCTCTGTCCAGGATGGTTTTAGGCCAGGATCTCTTCCACTCCTGACTTGTGCCTTCATGCCTGATTCCTGCCCCTGCAAAAGCTGCAGGGGTGGGGGACAGTCACCTTCCCATGATAGCCATGAAAGGGCCATGCTGAGGCTCTAGGGGACTCAGTCTTTGAGCAACATTCCCCTAAGAAGGGTGGTGTGGTGGGTTGACCTTGGCTAGCCACCAGGTGTCCACGAAGCTGCTCTATCACTCCCTCTCCTCAACTGGACAACAGGAAGAAAATCTGACAAAAGGCTTGTGGGTCAAGATAAGGATGGGGGATCACTCAGCAATTATTGTCACAGGCAAAGCAGACTCAGCTTGGAGAAACTGATTTAATTTATTGCCAATCAAAATCACAGTAGGTTAATAACACATAAGTAGGATAAGAACACATCTAAAACCACCTTCCCTCCCTGCCCCTTCTTCCCAGGCTCAACTTCACTCTTGACTTCTCTACCTCCTCTTTCCAAGTGGCACAACAGGATGGGGAATGGGAATTGCTAACAGTTTATTTTGTATTGTCTCTGTTACTCCTTCCTCCTCGCCCTGCTTCAGTGTGGGGTCCCACATCACAAACTGCTCCAGCATGGGTCTGTCCCACAGAGTGCAGTCTTTCAGGAACAGACTTCTCCAGCACAGGTCCTCTATGGGGTCACAAGTCCTACTCCAGCATGGGCTTCTCTCCATACCATCACAGGTCCTGCCAGGAGCCTGCTCCAAGTGCGGGCTCTCCATGGGGTCACAGATTCCTTCAGGTTCATCCACCTGCTCCAACGTGGGGTCCTCGATGGGATATGGGGGACAGTCTGCCTCACTGTAGTCTTCACCAACGGGCTGCACAGGCACCATCCCTGCTCTGGTGCCTGGACCATCTCCTCCTTCACTGACTTTGGTGTGTCCTTAGTTGTTTCTCTCACGTGTTCTCACTTCTCTCTCCCAGATGCTGTTGTGCATCAGTTATTACCCCTTCTTCAGTATGTTAGCACGGAGTCGCTACCAACATCGCTGATTGGCTCAGCCTTGGCCAGCAGCAAGTCTGTCTTGGAGTTGGCTGGAACTGGCTCTGTTGGACATGGGGGCAGCTTCCAGCATCTCCTTACAGAAGTCACACCTGCAGGCCCCCTGCTACCAAAACCCTGACACATAAACCCAATACTCTCTGCCAGGGGACTACGGAGTAAACCCCTGGGGGTTACCGTGGGAGGAGGCGAAGGCCACCATTGGCCAGGCTCAGCCTACATCTCCTTGGGTGTCAGGATGCTGCTGCATCCAGGAGGGATGCCCCCTGCATCCGGGAGGGATGACTTCACACCCACCCAAATTCCCCCAGCACTCACAGCTGCTGGCCAGAGAGCCCCAGCCCAGCCCTCCAACACCCATACCGCTTCCCCCTAGGGAACACACCTGGCCATGCCCTCCCCAAAACCTCAGCACAGGCCTCATTGGCTACCAGGGCTGCCTCATGACACTGTCACTGGCAGAGCTGCACAGGCAGTGTAGCCCTTGGGAGAAGCGTGCGGTCACAGCTCATGTGGCCACTTCCTTCTCCTGCTACTCTTTCTCCTGCACACTTGCTGCTGGTACCATGCAGCCCACTTGCCGTGTCCTCCTCTTCTTCCTTCTCCTCTTGCTTCCTGGGATGTGGGCAGATCCAGAGGGTAAGTGAGAGCCCTGGCTCACCCCTACCTGCTCCTATCCCTGCATTGTGGGACCCCAGAGAGATGGCAAGGGGTGGGCACAGACAGTCCCCATCACCAAAGGGCCAACCCCCACCTCACAGCACTCAAAGGTGCCCCTGTGCCCCCTTGCTCAGGGTCCCTTGCCCCTGGCACTAGGAGCACCACTGGCACTGGAATTTAGACACCTGAGTCAAGGGATCCCTCAGCCAGACCTGGGGTGCTGTGGTGTCCACAAAGATGTCTTTCTCCTGCAGAGAGCCTGCAGGCAGCAGGGGTTCTCAGCCCCTCATGACACAACAGCCCTGCACTGGGCTTCAACCCTTTGAGTAGGCCCTGGACACTGCCCTCAGCCTGCAGGATCATTTCTCTTGTAACCAAAGGGTTCCTGAATCCTCTGCATTCTCCCCCTGTGAATGTTATCCCTGCAGCTACAATAAGCCTTTCCAGCCTGTTTCCCATTCTGCGGGCAGGTGCTCACTGTGCTCTGGCCAAGGAAGCACCCACTGCTCCAAAACAGGCTTCACTCTGCCCTGCTTACTACTGAAGCCTCATTCAGTGCTGCAGCATCAAACTGAGTCTCCTGCCTCCTGTTAGCGTTCAGTCTTGAGCACTGCCTGGGAGCCGCTAAACTGGGGTGGAATGCCCCTCCCTCCCAGCCCCCCCACTGTGTGCAGGTCTCCTGTGGATCCAGGTCCTAGCATGGGTGCTCTTTACTAGAGGAAGAATCACCCCAAACCAGCACTGAGGTCCCCTCTGCCATCCCCTCCATACAGCTAAGTGACAGCTCTCAGAAGGCCACACTGGGGAGGTGGATGTCTAAAAAAAAAAAGAAATTAGAGGAGAAGTAGGGGGAGGTTCAGCGAGGGTGTGGAAGGAAACTGCAAACTGAGTGAAACTGGGGATTTCCCCCACCCTGCCTGTCTGCCCCATTCTGCCCTGTCGCCAGGGACACTACAAGCCACCCTTCTTCCTGGGGCCACCCACCAGCACCATAGCAAGCAGTCCCCTGACCTCTGCCTTTATCCTCATGCACCCCAATGCCACTTCCTCTCCCTCCTCTACCCACAGGCTCTTGTAAACTCCACATTTTCCAAACCTTTGTCTTCCACAACACCAACTTTGTGGACACTTCGGCCTGGGCCACCCTGGAGGACATCGTCTTTGCTAGCCTGCACAAACCCACCTGGGACATCCAGTACCTCTACCCATGGGTCTACCCCTCCCTGCCTGCAGCAGAGTGGGACAACCTGAAAAACCTCTTCAATGTCTACATGCACAACCTCATCCTGTCCCTGTCGGGTGATGCCAAGCAGTACCAGACACCCTGTGAGTACCAGGTGCTCAGCACCTACTCATCCAAGGCAGGAAGCTGTGAGAAGGAGCTCAGAACCAACACCACCAGCTTTCCCAAAATGGGGCTGGCAGAAGAGCATAGAATGGGCCTCATCTTGCACCAGCAAGACCCCCAAACCACCCTATCCTGTGCAGAGGTCACACAAGGCCATCCTGGTCCTCAGCACAAACCTCGGGCTGTCTTTTGCTTCACTTACGCCCTCACACCAGCCCCTCTATTGCTCTCCAGGCACCACAGATCCCACCAGGGGCAGCTCAAGGATGACGAGCTACAGGGCTTAGGACAGGCTTTTCACCTGCAGAGTTTCCACTTGGTGTAGAGTAGAGTAGTAACACGGGGGAATGGAATGGAATGGAATGGAATGGAATGGAATGGAATGGAATAGAGTAGAGTAGAGTAGAGTAGAGTAGAGTAGAGTAGAGTAGAGTAGAGTAGAGTAGAGTAGAGTAGAGTAGAATATAGAATAGAATAGAATAGAATAGAATAGAATAGAATAGAATAGAATAGAATAGAATAGAATAGAATAGAATAGAATAGAATAGAATAGAATAGAATAGAATAGAAAGAATAGAAGTTCGGTAGGAAGGGACCTACAAGAATGATCTAGTCCACAGCCCGACCAATTCAGGACTGATCAAAAGTTAAAGCAAATTATTAAGGGTATTGTCCGAATGCCTCTTAAAACACTGACAGTTTTGGGGCATTGACCACCTCTGCAAAGAAAAGTTTCCTAATGGCAAGTCTGAATCTCCCCTGCTGCAGCTTTGAACAATTCCCAGGCATCCTGTCCCTGGATCCCAAGGAGAGATCAGCACTTCCCTCTCCAGATCCCCTCCTCAAAAAAGCTGAGGTCGCCCCTCAGCCTCCTGTTCTCCTAACTAGACAAGCCCCAAGTCCTCAGCCACTCCTTATAGGACATGCCTTCCAGCCTCTTCACCAGCTCTGTTGCTCTCCTCTGGATGCATTTGAGGACCTTCACATCCTTCTTAAACGGTGGGGCCCAGCACTGCACACAGTACTCAAGGTGAGGCAGCACCAACACTAAATACAGCGGGATAATCCCCTCTCTTGGCTGGGTGGTTATATTCTGATGCACCCCACAATGTGGTTTGCCCTCTTGGCTGCCAAAGCACACTGCTGGCTCCTACTGAGCTGCTGCTGACCAGCACCCCCAGTTCTCTCCCTGCAGGGCTGCTTTCCAGCCACTCCCCTCCCAGTCTGTATTTGTGTCCACTATTACTCTGTCCCAGGGGCAGAATCTGGCATTTGTTCTTGTTAATGCCATTTTATGCCACTGATGATTGCCCAGTGCTCCCATCTATCCAGATCCCTCTACAAGGCCTCTTGTCCTTCAACAGAGTCAACAGCACCTCACAGTTTGGTATTATCAGCAAACTTGCTAATGGTGCACTCAACTCCTGCACCCAGATCATTGATCAAAATATTGAACAGCACTGGCCCTAGGACTGAGCCCTGAGGAACACCGCTGGTGGCCATTCACCAGCCAGATGTAGCCTCATTCACTACAACACTTTGAGCCCTGCCCTTCAGCCAGTTCTTCACCTAGTGCACCATGAATGTGCTCACCCACAGTTAGACAACTTGTCCAGAAGGATGTTGTGAGGGACAGTATCAAAAGCAAAACTGCATCCACTGCCTTCTCCTCACCCACTAGGTGCAGGACCTTATTGTAGAAGGATACGAAATTAGTTACAAGACTTTCCCTTTGTGAACACATATTGACTGTGTCTGATGATTGGATTGTCCTTTAAATGCCTTTCAATAGCACCCAGTATGATCTTCTCCATAATTTTTCCAGGTACTGAGGTTAGACTAACAGGTCTGTAGTTTCCCGGGTCTTCCCTCACAGCCTTCTTGTAAATTGGAATAACTGCTGGATAGCTTGCAGTCGGTGGGGACCTCCCCAGACTCCCAAGACTTTTGGTCAAGAGATCGTCGATCAAGAGGTGTCCTGCCATAACATCCGTCAGCTCCTTCAGTACTTGGGTGAATCAAGTGCTTGTATGAATCAATTACTTGGGTGACACAGCTGGTGCCTTACAATTTCAGTGTCCACAAATGGAAAGTCAGCATTCCCGCAGTTGTGGTCCTCTGACTCAGAGGACTGGGCAGCCCAAGGTCTATCAGTATTATTAAAGACTGAGGCAAAAAGAGCATTGAATGCATCTGCTTTTTTCTTCATTCCTGTTAGTCGTGACCATCTTCAACAAGTATCAGTCCAATGTTTTCTTTAGATCGCCTCTCACTGTTAACACACTTAAAAAAGCCTTTCTTGTTGTCTAACACAACACTGTCCAGTTTCAACTCTAATTGAGTTCTCACTGTGAAGAATGACTTAGGGTGCAGAGGGAAGGGGGAAAGGGTTGTGCCAAAAGAAGTGGGTGCCAGGATGCAATTTCAGGTTCCAGCTCAAACTGCACTCATGATGTCCATTGTTCTCCCCAGACCCCTTTGTGTTCCAGTGTGCAACTGGCTGCAACTTGTATCCCAATGGCTCCTATACCAAATTCTACCATCTCGCCTACAACACCCACAGCTTCCTCAGTTTCAACGTGGACAATCTCCTCTGGGAGAGGCAGCAGGAGACTGAGTTGGCAACGCAAGTTGAGAGGAAGTTCAACACCTTTACTGGTTTCTCTGAGACTCTGCAGCACCTTCTAAATGTCACCTGTGTTGACCACATGAAGAAATTCATCAAGTATGGGAAGGCCTCTCTGAAGAGACAAGGTGAGACCACTCTGGCACACACCCCAATACCCACACACACACTGGGGCCAAGCAGTGCCCCACAGGTGCTCCCCTCACCCCTTGGCTCTTACACCCCAGAGCTGCCCGTGGCCACAGTCTTTGCCCGCACGCCCAGACCAGACCAGCTCCTGCTCATTTGCCACGTCACTGGCTTCTACCCACGGCCCATCAGCGTGGCTTGGCTGCAGGATGGCCAAGAGGTGCCACCAGGCCCAGCGCTCAACACCAGTGCCATCCTGCCCAACGCAGACCTCACCTACCAGCTCCGCATCACCCTGGCCGTGGCTCCCCATGACGGGCACAGCTATGCCTGCTGCGTGCGCCACCGCAGCCTGGGCACCGGCAGTCTCCTCATCCCGTGGGGTAGGTGACACCCATGGGGGTGGGCACGAGGTGTGGGCAGAGGCCCCTGGCCCCATGTAGGTGCCTGAAGGATGGTTGGTCAGGCTCTGATGGCAGCTCCAGCCATGGCCTCCTGCAACCCTTCTCTCTCCAGGCAGCTCCAATATTGCTCTCAGTGTTGGCATCACCATCACAGTGCTGCTGACCATGGCTGCAGTCCTTGCTGGGGCCATCTGCCACTACAGGCGCAGGTGAGGTCTCATCCTCTCCCAGCTGCACCAGCCCCATCGGCTCCAGGCCATGGCACATGCGACCCACCTGGCCAGGGCTGCTGCCCTTGTCCAGACTCACTCAACTCCTCCTCTCCTTCAGGCGCTGAGACCACAAGAGACAGCACACCTGTGACACCCTGAGGCCACATTGGCTCCCTACATATCCCTGGTAATAAACCACTAATTAACACCCCCACCTATGTGGGAACTCTTGGTGCACCATCACCAGTGCCATAAGCACATGGCATCGCGTGACTCCTGCCCACCCCAGGACAGAGAAGGAGAGCCTCGGTGCAGCGCAGAAGCATGTCCACACTCCTCATCTCAGGGTGAAACACCGGGACAGCTCCCCAACACCAAAAGGGTGTCCCTGGCCCCAGCCCCTAGTCCTGGGGCACCAGGCTCCCCACGAAAAAGCAGGACTAAGCCAGTGCCAATGCAGGCTGTGGCAGTGATGGGGCAGGGCAAGGGAGGATCATAACCCCACCCACCCTTCTGGGAGCACATCAGCACCTCTGCACCAGATCCAAGTCCCTGGGACAAAGGAATGGTGACAAACAGGCTCAGGAACAGCACACAGCTTGGGGACACGGGGAGCCCAGGCGGCTGGCTGTGAGAATGGGCTTCACCCCCCTCGTGAGAAATTCAGCCACACTGGGGCAAACCTACCCAGTTCAGTGCTGGGGGCAGCAGCACAGAGGGGACAGAGATGTCTGTGCCATGCAGGGTGTTGTGGGCACACGTGGCAGCAAAGGACATTCCCATCAGGGGCAGTGGATGCAGCCAGACGGTACATCCACCTGCACCGGGGGTTAAAAAGGAGGACTGGGTCACCCGCACGGCCCCGGGTGTCAGGGTGCCGCCACGGCCATGCAGCCAGGGGATGGCCTTGCCCCCCCCCAAATACCCCCAGCACTTGTGGCTACAGGCCAGGGTGCCCCTTCCAGCCTCCCTGTCCTCCTGTGTCACCCCACGGGCACGGGGCTCCCCCTTACCTGCCCACCCGGGCACTCGCCCTCGCTCCCCTCCTCACGCCCCTTCCCAGCGCGTCCCTACCCCACCCTACCACCTTCCCCCATCCCCAACACCCCTCACTCCCCCACACCACAGCCCTGACGCTCATCCCAAATTGCCCGTTCCGCGTCCCCCTTCCCCAGCCCCACCTGTCCCTCCCGTGTCCCCGCGGGTCCCTCCCTCCTCCCCACACACCGCTGTGCCCCCGCCCCACGGCGCAATAACCCGATACCTGGGAGATCCGCGCTCACAGCCCGGGACCAGCCTCACCTCACCTGAGCGCCCGCCAATGGCGACGCGTGCTTCACCTGACGTCACCAGACTCCGGGCAGATCCTTTGGGCCTGGCCCT